GCAGTGGTTAGACAATGGCTGATCACAATGATAGTAGGTTATTTACTGCGCTCTGTACCGTTTTGTTTGTGCCCACAAAAAACATTTCCAGTAAATGTTAGGTCCTCCAAAAGTTTCTTCGAACTCGACAGGAAAAAAACAAGGCAATTTCCTGGGCTTGGCAGTGCCCCATTGCCTCAAACAAATTAAGTGGTACTCCTGCGCGTCCTTGGAGGCCGACTCTCATTATTAGGACCGCTTTATAATCCCTGGGCACACCAATGGAGAGAGAGAGAGAGCCCTCGCGATGAAAGACAAGAAGGGCTCTTTCCAGTGACTGCATTGTTGCAGTGCCCTTCTCACAGCCCCACACCACACGGCTGCTGTACTCACGGCAGCCCGCACTGCACTTCCAATTACTGTATTTTCGTTTTCCCTGTAGTACCTGCTTCCGTAAGTCTCGGCTGTGTCTTGTGTTGTGCAATTTATCGCCCCCAGGCTTCCTAGCGTTTCTCATGATGTACGTGTGTACGTTGAACTTCTTTCGCACCGTATGCAGCCACCCGTGGTAATGGCACCTCCGATTAGCACGGTTGAATATGACAATCGTTGTTTGTATTGATGATTTTTTATATATATGGGGCCCTTTATATCTCACGGCGCTTTACATCATTGTATCTCACCTCACACATTGGGTATGGCACCCCCAGTGGCAGCAGTACCTTTAGGTACAAGGTGACTCACCACCTGGCGTGTAAATGGGCATTCGTCTGTCCAGTAGGGGGGAGATGGTTGCTATGTGTTATCCCAATAAATGAATTAAGAACATTTAAAGCCATAATTTAATCCAGCAATGTGTTATTCCGCCACTCATGTCGTCAACAGTCAAAGTGTTTCTGTGCTCAAAACAATGTGCAGTGGTAAATATCTCTGTTGGCAGCTGAGCCAGTCGTAAAAAAAGATCCACATTCCTTTGACAGGGGCAGGTCTATCCATAGAAGACCTATTATGGACTTTTACACAATGTGGTTTTCATTTTACCCACTCCATAAAATTATGGGCTGACTCAATCCCCAACTGGTATTTGAATGGATTAACGGTGGAAAAAATTATGCATTATCCTAATTACTGTAAGTTGTTGGTAAACACACAGACCCAACTTTCGGTGTCTATTGTTAAACACGCCTTGGGAAATGTAATGTCTGCTGAGCAAGGCTGCAAAGTAAACATCCCTTTTGATAGATGGCGCACTTTATCACACTGTGTGGACTGCACCAAAGACAGAATTTAAACAGAACCAATTTGTTCCCATCACGACAACTGCATCCTTACCCTACCCTACAGCCTACGTAACAGGGCATTGGCTACGCACGCCACAACGCACCAACACGGAGGTTATTAATAAGATTACCATCATAATTCACCCGGGGTACTGATGCTGCAGTTATACGGATAATAAAACAAAACCCCATGCGTTTGCCCCCTTTGATAAATCAAGCACTGGAAGACGGTCCCACCACATGAAAGATATGAAGCTCCTCACACACTGCTGTCCATGTGGTGGGACAATACTGATCAAGGGCATGGTTTCACTGAACCCTGCATTCGCCCCCATCTGCCCCCCCACTCCCCTCCAACACACACATGCACAGGCTGCCAACTGTCCATCTGCATTGTGCCGTGACACAGATGTGCTCCCTCCTTCTCTCCCCAAGGTGTGGAGAATGCACGCAGCCCTAACGCCCAGCGGCTAATGGACTGGAGCTCCACAGCAGCTGCGCTTCTGCGTTCCCTGCAGCCGCTGAGCAGATGACAGGCAGGCTGAAGTGCATCATTAAACCAGGGCAGCTTCCAACTGACTTCACAGCTCTCCTTAGCATTTCAGGAACCAGACAATAATACGAAGGAAAAAATGGAATTACGAAGCGCAATATGGGCCAGGGTTTAATGTCAGCTGGAGCTGTCTGGGACTGAGCTGTAAGGGGTTGTTGGAGGACAACAGACAAGACAATAGTCAATGATCAATGATGGGCTGGTATGGATGGACACAAATCACCCCTGTGATTCATACGAAGAATTTAAACAAACAAAAAAACTGACACTATATCCCTGCTCAACTGAGTGAAGGAGCCATGGCAGAAATCACATATTTTCTAATGATTGGTTGACTCTCCATAGAACAATCAATTATAACGTTTCACAAAGTGGTACTCAATGTATTTACCCTAGAGCACTGGCTATAAGGTTGGATAAATAGACTCCCAACCAAGAACTGAACTCGCGATCTTCCTTGCAACCTCCGATTAGCACGATTGACAATGTACGGTGCGAAAGAAGTTCAACACACGTACAAATCAAGAACTCCCAGCCGGTGTGGTCTGACTGGGAAAAAACCTATTGAAACGAGGCTGTCAACAACAATTATGCATGTGCGTAGATTGGGTCCTCCTCCAATGTCAGCCCAGAGACACGTGAAAAAGCCCTGGCTGTTTTAGCAACGGGCTCTCCCAAGGTTCCAATCAGGGAGACCGTACCACAGCCTTGTGCCGCCTTCCTTCACAATGCTGGATAATTAGTTTAGCGTGCAGTTTCAAAAGGTTAAGTTGGGAGAAACCCTCCTCTCTCTCTCTCCCCCTCCACTTCTGGTTGCCTCAACCCCCATCTCCACATCTCAAAATCCCAATGGCCTCCACCCCAAAAATCAATTACTAGGCATCACTGAAAAAAACGGCACGAGCATCGTATAACCTAACAAGCATTGCCTTGAAAATCGCATTCAAAAACGTTTTTTTTTATCCAAGGCTTTCTCAATGACAACGGGTTTTTTTTCACTGTGGTGCTGTGTGGATTTTGACCACTGCATCTTGTTGTCTCTGTTATTGTTTGGCTCAATAAGCATCAGATTATTGAAACGTCTTCATGGAACACAAAAAATATTAACGACAAAAAATATGCCCCAACGTTAATATGTTCATGATGTGTCAAAACTAAGCATTCTGCTTAGCCTACCATCATGTGACAATGTGAATCGCTATTTTTGGCAAACGCACCTTATATTTATTTACGTCCATACAAATAACAAACGATGAATCACTGTTACATAAATGCACTGAATGTTTTAGTTGGAAGAGTAGGCCAATTACGCTCGAGCAGGGAAATCTTGTCAGCAGTGGCATCAGACAATTGCAGGGCTGCGCCTTGTATAATTAATGTGCCCTGGATTTTACCCAAAAATTCAACACTTCAGCTCAACTCACCCTCTTTAGGAAAATGTCTACAGAATTCATCGCTATAACTTAATATAAAAATGTGTCATTGCAGCATAAGCTAGGGGACATCCAATACCTGTACACTGCGGTGCCCATGCTAAGTGCCACGTGAATGTAAGAACTCGCATTCTGTTTATAGTGTGCTGTTATACGGGGTGGTCCACTTTTAGATACCACATTGAAATTAAATAACGCTTAATTTTATTCAAGGCATTGCTGAATGGCGTATGAAAATAAGACTGGCTTTGTTAGACATAGCGTATCAGGAGAGCATTAGCACACATACTAAGTAGATTGACATTGGTTGGAGACATGTCGAGGCTTTTCATTAAAACAAAAATTCTATAATCTTGCTGTTATTTGTTTTAGTGGGGTAACTATAAATGGATCGCCCTGCAAATGTGTTTTTCTTCCCCCTGTAGGATGCAGATGAGCATACCGCATGCGACATCACTGCTGCCTCTCTTCCCAACGTACTATATGTGCCATATGGTAACCCCATTACCAGCAGCCAATTGTCAGCCAAGCAACAGTCCGTCGCAAAACCCTGCAAGCGGTCTGCGCAAGTTGCCGAGACGAAGATGTCACGGGTCAGATATAGCACCGAACGCTCATGACACAGTCTCATAGCGGCCAATAGGTGTGGTCATCCACACCGCACGTGGCTGCGGCGGGGTTGGTGGTGGTGATGGTGGTACTGCTGCTGCGCAGTGATTAGCGCCACTCCACGATGCAACCCCATGACCCGAAGTTGGATGTTCCGGCCACAGCAACGAGCAGTGGTCAAAGTGACATCTGACCGCTCCCGAGCGCCCCTTCACCAACGTGGTGGAGCATGGTCAAACAAGCCCATAGCCGCGACACGACACAGGGACTCCATCCAGCAGCGGATTATTACGAATCGTGAACTGTGGATATGATCCTTGCGCAATACCTGTATATACCTGTGTGTACATGTGTGTACATGTATATACCTGTGTGTACATGTGTGTACATGTATATACCTGTGTGTACATGTGTGTACATTTATATACCTGTGTGTACATGTGTGTACATGTATATACCTGTGTGTACCTGTGTGTACATGTGTGTACATGTATATACCTGTGTGTACATGTGTGTACATGTATATGAGATGGGGAGCGGTGGTGTAGCGGTGAGCGCGCTCAAGGCCAATACCAATGACTATCTGAACCGGTCCTGGGCCTCCACCTAGGGCGACTTGGCCTCAAACGAGTACCTGGTGTGGGATGTGTAAAAACATCGTCACTGGGGAGACAAAGGCGGCCGGGCGTGGGTGCTGGCCACCCACCCCCTCGTGTGCCGTGCCGGCCTTCATAGGCGCTTGCTAACATCACTTGCCCCTACAGTCTGTTACAGGCTACACGGGGTTGTATGTGTGTGTAGTGTAGTGTATTTATTTGGGTAGGAACTACAATGAGAAGGCTTCATTGGAAGATCCAAAAGGTGCCCAGGAGGAATTGCCATTCTAGGTCGAAACAGTCCAAGCGACATTGTGACCACAGATAGATCTCCATCGGTCAGAGGTCACGCGTCAAACTCACATTTGTTCTGTTGTTTCACGGTTCTGCATGTGATTACGTATTTTATTTTTTGTTCTTCAAAACACGCGTGTTATAATTGTCCGCGAATACAATCGATGTACGGGGGGTTTCAAAAACGCTGCATGCCGCGGTCGTCACCATAGACGCGGCCTCTGTTATCTCTCTCGCGCGTGCCCCCTCCACTCACCTTTAAGCTGCGCTTCATATTCTGCGACGATCTCCTTATCCTTCTTGAATTTGGCCGCCGCGCTCATGGTTAACGTGGAAGATCGACGACCGTGGTGGTGGTGGTGGCGACCATGTGCCAGCGAAGGTAGCCAAATGGGCACCCGCTCACCTCCCGCTCTCCAGCCAACTTCAAGTCTTCAAGACACCAGGACACCGAGTTGAGTGTCGACTGTTCTTGCGTGTGTCCCCTGGCGCCGTAACACCACCGACTGCCACCAACAAGCCAACTTGGTCAGTAAAAGGGTTCTTCTGTACAAGTTGGCCAAACAGGTCCGGCAAGACTGTCCTCAATATCCAGATGTTCTCCAGCAGTCTTCTTAAAAAATGTCTTGTAGAAGGCTCCCAAACAAGTCCCTGGGTCAGATGTAACCCCCTCTGCTCACTCCACCTTAAAGCAGACTGGCTTGGATTAAAATGAGGCCAATGTCTCTCAATGCCCCCTTCTCGTCACTCCTCCTTCAAGTGTGTTGAGATGGAGGTTCAACTCGTGAGATGAAACAAACGGATATTCGTTCTTTCTTCAAGGAAACTCCACGCAAATCGATAGCTCCCGAGGACACTTTTAGAATGAGACTGGGCAAGAAATTGTAACTTGTCACACAGCTTCCCGCTTAGCTCTCAAGAGATCAAAGTTCAGCTTTAAATGTCCACTCTCGCTCTTCACACGCCTGGAAGGATCCCCCAAACTCCTCTGCTCGTATCGATGACCGCCAATTCTACAGCCATCAAATCAAAGCGCTCATCAAAGTGACCGTCGGGTCTCGCAATGAACGTGGGCTTTTTTTTTGGCTCAATAACTCATCTTGCAAAAAAAGCGACGACTGCCTCCTTTGGTAAACACCAGATGAGCAATGATGGGAGAAGCCAGCCCCAACATCACTTGCACGATCACTCCAAGCCTCCAGCCATTCTTCGGAGGAGCACATCCAATAACCCCGCGCCTTCGGGGACAGCAGAAGGAGCTGTTTTATTCTTCTCCTCGCTGTCAACGGTTCCTTCTTCGATCTGCGTTCTTTAAATCTGTGACGTCCCTTCAGCACAGTACCGCATACTTCATTCCGCTACGGTCAAACGCAGCCGCTCCGCGAACGTTCGGCATCCAAATGCGCAACGAGACTATTGTAATGAGCGCATACGATAACTGCCTTGCCTCTTTTTTTTTAACACGGGATACAAACACCCATATGCGTCTATGCTGCGCGCCTCTCTACGCTCCGCGTTATCTCCATGTTGTCCCGTACGCCCGCTGATGCCGTCCCAGTGACTACTCGTGTTAGACGTAAACAGACGCCGCTACTCCTGCTGCTGCTGCTGCGAGAACGGCGACACATGGGAGCTAGCACGCTGTTGTCCACTCCGCTGCGTTGCTCCGTGTGTGTGTGTTCTGTTGGTGCCGTGGTGTTGGAGGCGAGAGAGAGAAGGGGTGTGGGGTGGGGATAGAAACGGGGAGGGGGCGGCTGGGAGTGACGATGTTGATTTGTGGGCGAAATCCCCTCTCCACTGAGCTCAACAGCTCCCCCTGTCTGACCAAAGTGGGTCTAGCACGGCATTCCCTCTTCCCGGCAAGGCTTCGGTGCCACTTTCATCGCTAGGCATCCATTAGACGCCCGTGAATGACATTGCACAACTGTATCTTGGAATATTTAGCCAGAAGAGCGCGTTTGTAAAGTGACCCGTGTTTTTGTTTGTCTCACATTTGGGAGGATCCGAGTTCAAATCCTGGCGATGGGACTTATCTCATCATCTCTCAAGGGGTCGATAAGATGAATGTAGGAATGAGGAATTTCCACAACTGCCCCCTGGCACAGATGAATGCCACTCTACTGTCCAATTAAGCAAACACATTTTAAACTTGAAAAAAAATGTGTTGATAATGGCTGACAGTAATTGGTGAAAGACGTGGCTTTCAAACTCCAGTCTCGTTGACCTTTCCACGGTCTATATTTCCATGTTTACCAATAACCACATGTAAAGTGCATATAGATATATTGAGTTTAAATGTGAACTGAGAATATTTTCTGAAGTTCAGATGAGCGTTGGGCTGTATAAATGACAGTATACTGATCCGAATACGGCTGGGATAAGAAATGAAAGCCTGGAGCGTTTTGCAAGTGTGCTCCATAAATCCAATAGAAATTGTCTTTCAAGTGAATAGGGGATGCGTTTTTGCGTGTGAACAAGACAGAGCTCTTGTGAGATAGTGCCTGGCAGTAACTATTGATGTGAACACGCACAGATGTGTTTCAATGTCTCGCAGATGTTTCCTTTGTCCATCTCTGAGGACAAAATGTGGGCCGGTTGTAAATAGATCCAAGCATGCGACGAGTTGTGGACCCCAGCACCCCGTGATTCCGTGTGTCTGCTCACCGTTAAATGTTTAAAATTCATAATAACAATCGTCACCACGGGTCCGTCCTCGGTCCACCAGAGAGGCTGCATGCCTCCTCATTCGGACACCATAACTTTTAATTGCCCATTGCTCCTCGAGCAGATGCGTTCTGTCCCGCACCGCACAGCCCGCTTTGCCAGTCCGCTGCTGGATGAGGACCTCGCCACACCGTGCGTGCAAGTGAGGGTTGTTCAAACATACTTCACCACGCTGGTCAGTGGGGGTTGGTGAAGATAGGTTGGGGGGCGGGGAGGGGATTACACCTGTTGTATGCGGACGGTGGGCACCCAAACATTCACTACTCAGGCTCAACCCCGCAACATTTTCCGAGGTCTGATGGGACCCAGCACATTCCACAGGAATTGGTCGTAAGCGCGAAGATATCTTCCCATCACTTATAATGCTATTTCATCACTGACCCTGCACCTTCCCTTCCATGAATGAATCGGCAAAGGGCTGTAAATTATTACGACCGTTAAATTGCAACAGCATGTTCTAGGAAAGAGAGCTAGTTTTTTTTCTGAATCAAAAGTCAGCTGAAATTAGCTTTGTGACATTTTAATCTCCATTGTTATCCCTGAACTGCTAGTGGAACTTACACGTTTCTATGACGGAAATCGGTATTTCTCTAGGATGGCCAATGATGAATTGAGTGCCACCCACCCAAAACAATTTCGTCATGCTTTTTTGTATCGAGTACAGAACCACATTAACCATTGAGAAGTAGTGTATATTTATTTACATATACATAATACATATGCCGAGGGCTGTCATTTTGAGTTAATCTAAAATATATGCTTTTCACGGTGAAATGCAGTATTCAAAGGATTAATTATGTTACCAATCATGGATACACTGGGCAAAGAGCATAAAGCACATCTGTTCATCTTTAAAGTCTGCCTACATATAGGGAGAATTGACAATGTATCTACCCCCTCACTCCTGACTTTGTAAAATTGGCCCTACGTGACTCAACCACCTAATCACGTGGTCCTCTACTGTCCATTACTTTTTCGCATTTCCTGTTGATTTATTAGTTCACAGTGGTCAGAACGTATTTGTTATGTTACACGAATGTGGCCCCACACTCTTGAGTTACCTTCTTTGGGGATTGGGGATTCTAAATAAATCAATGATCACTTGATATTTTGTGGTTAGGGAGCTTGGGGATTAGCCCATTTGAAAAAAATATTGTGAATAAAATCCCACTTAAATAGTGGTATATTAAAAAAGTCGATCCTATGACATTTTAAGAGTCTCAAGCACAACTGAAAATAATATTTAGTTATATGGCAGTAATCTGAATTGATATGAATAAAATCCAAATACAGTATATCTATTTGCTTTTTTGTTAAAAACACAGTATGTGCCGAGAGATGCAACCTTTGTTTGTGCTTTTTCTTGTGCAGTAACACTCAATTATACAAGTGACACATTCAATATACTCTTTGGCCCTTTCGGTAAAGTCACGTAGGTAGAAAAATAAAATAATATATCACGACGTTTCGATCGTAACACAAAGCGGTCGTCCTCAGGCGGAAAAAAATAATCCAGCAGTGGAAGTGCTGAACCAGCGAGAGAGCTGTTACAACAAGAGGCTATAGATGTGGCGAAGGGCAATCCGGCGGGGTCTGAGCTGGAAGGGAATTCCATCCCCGGACGCAAGCACGTCAGTTGTGTTAATGGGGGAGATTGGGGAGAGAGAGATTAGGGAGAGAGATTAGCATGAAATGAGCTTCTGTCGCCGCATGAGAGTATCGTCCCTGCATATGCGCACAACAGCAGTGTTAATGGGAGATTAGCGCTATGTTGATAGGAGAGATTAGATAGAGAGATTAGGGGGATTACGTTTATGTGCAACACAAGCTGCGGCGCTGCCAACTGCGCTGTGAGAGGCAAGCGCGTCCACGCAAGAGAACCACCGCAACGGTGGTCGCGCCAGTGAGACACACAGCCCATCACACAGCCAGAACCATCGATACATCGAGGCTAAGGGAGCAGAGGTGGCCATGCTAGTGAGACCCCAGCCCGTTAATGCAGAGGCACCTAACAGGGCAATGCAACTCAGAGAGTCGGAGATAACAGCCATACGACAGGGAATCATGGAAGCACCACAGCACGTTAGAACTTTGCTTGGTTTATAACGTCCTTACAATGGTTGAAATTGTCTCAGTGTTTATATATCTGGATGGCTTCCAGGACAAATTTTTTTATGGTAGCCCGAAGGTTAGCAGAGTACCTTGGTCTCGGAAAAAAACAATATCGTGCGAGCCCACTGCGTTATAACAATGATCAGCCATGGCAGAGGTATTGACTCTGCCGTGTTTCAAATCTGTATTGTGTTCGCGAACACGGTCCAAGACATGTCGTTTCGTTTCCACAATGTAACTGCTGCCACAGACACAACTTAGTTTGTAGATACCAGGGTATTGCATATCAGGAATGACATCCTTCACAGATGGGATCAAATCACGGATTTTATGCACTGTGTTGAATCGACATGTACTTTAAGAAATGTTTGTTAACTTTAACGAAAGAGCCTCAGTAGACTATAAATTGGCGCATCACTGAGATTGCAGACTGGATAAGTGTCACGATTTAATTCCAAATCCTACCTGTGTGTTGCAAGTCTGTGGGTGTGATGCAATCACTTCTGCGGAAATGAAAGTCTGAACACCTATTACTGTACATCTACAGCAAGTGTAGGCCATCGTGTCACAGGCCCAACTAAACATACTGAATTGCACAGTAATTACGGCGCAGTAATTATCACACGACGCTATGAACCTGGCAACTGAAGTGTGTTTTTTTTTTACTGGCTATGGCTAACATCAGCGGTCAGTGATATCTGAACCAGAACTGGGCCCGCTCCCTTTCCAAACTGCGTTGACCATCGTGGTAAAATATGGTCAAACGACTCCATGAATGAAACTGTATGCAGCAGTAGAATCACAAACGACTGTAAGGTAATATTATCTTCTTCAATTACAAGTAGAGCCTGCAGTGTCTCTCTTATTTGTTAGGTGGATTCAAAGGGCCCTGCCCTTGTGTCTAGAATCCATTTTGGTACAAATACCAGAAGGCAATGATTTGCATGTGTATTACAGGTTAACAAATTATATTAACTCGCAAAGCATATTTGATAAGCGCACGTGCAGCCATATGCGCGAGATGACCTATCCTCCATCTGCAAACTCCATATGGCACATCCCAAAGTGCAAGGAATGCACCAAATCACCATCGTAATTTTTTTTATTTTCGGCGAACCTTTCACACAACCTCGCGTCCAGAGAGCATTGGCCAAGGCTCCAAGGCGCACGCAAGCTGTTGGTGGTGGTGGGTAGGGGAGGGGCGGTGTTTTTCGGCGTTTAATTCGATGATTGAATCAATGGACGGCTCAAGCTAACGGCCGACAGGGGGGAAGGCAGTGTCTCTAACTCGATGCTGTCGCCAATTACGAATTGTTTCGTTCGTTTAGAAACCCCAAAATAGTCAAGGACCCGAGCTCGTGCCCGGCTACAGGCTGCGTCTACGGGACCATGGAGGCCCATTGTTAAGTAATGAAAGAGTTCCATTTAAAGCTTTCGTGACTGCAATGATTCATCTTCTTTGGTTCTTTCGGTAAAGTCACGTAGAATGAGAATAAAATAATAAACACAATAATATTATTGTGTTATTTTATTTTATCAATTTATTATTTTATTATCATTCTACGTGACTTTACGGAAAGAACCAAAGAATAATGAAAGAGTGCAGACTTCAAAAAACACATCGGGATCATCTGTAGTAAAAATGGATCGGAATACTATATGTCCGTGACATTTTTATTTTATTTTTACAGATAATATATATTTTTTTAATTCAGGTAATTTCCCGCATAAACGTGCTGCATTATAACAACTGTGAACGTTGTCAAAGTCATAGGTACCTAAGTCTGATTGAGCATTATACAAATGCCTGTTTCTATTGACTGTCCTAAAATAGTGGTGGAAATGTTCCACTTTTATGGCAGGGGTCAAGTCTGTTGATAGGAAAGCTGTTGTTG